ACCAAGAGCTTGTAACGCTTCAAAGAGAAATTAAAAATTGAAATCGCATCATATGACCCCTTTAAATGTGAGTTTTGACAATTTACGTTTATATTACGTTCACAAGTCGAAAATGTAAATGTTTCAGCTACTCAACGTGAAATGAATGGCTTAAATTAGTTCATAGAGCTATACGCTCAATGGTTTTAGCCATTTGTAACAGTTATAACGTTACATTTTTTTTAAATGCAATGAATTGATTTAGTATTAAATGATCGCGACTACATATTCAATTTGGCGTTTGCTCAACACCGCACATTGTAACTATTAAATATCATCGGTTAACTATTAGGCATCGCAACACAAGACTTGACGGGCCGAAGTCGCAGCAGCCGTTGACGGAATTTTCAAACAGCGGAGAGCGGGAAGCAGAGCGCCAGTCTACAGCGTCAGCACAACCAGGACTTCGGTTTCTTTATCGTCAGAGGAACTTCATAAGCTTAAGAGAGGCTCGACTCGAATTATCAGACGAAGAGAGGAGGAAATTCAAAGGTGAGTTTTATGCTTGCATTTAACCGAATCAAAAATGTATAACACCGTTCGCGCCGCAACAGCTAAAGTCTGTCTACACTGGACGCGACAAAGTGACCGTTAAAAGCGACACCGCTCGCGTCCGGTGTAACGTTAGACACGGTGTAAGACGTTACAGCCACCCATTCACAACAGGGAGCTTAAATAGCCAGCTGTATTTAGCCTTTTGCAAATACATTTTAAAGCAGCAGCGCTTGTGTATAGTTTGTGTATACGTTTGAAGTAACGTTACATAAAATAATACTGTTGAATCATTGTAAATGAATGCTTACCCTGACCATTGAACGCACAGATGAATAGTTGTTGTCCGTGCTATTTTTATATTAGTGGTTTATATGTATATCCTTATCCTAAAGCTTAAGATTCTCGTGTTTGAGAGCTTTACTTAAAACAACGTCGTTTTCTTTTTCTTTTCTTTTCATTCTCTCCGTCTGCTTTTCTTCTAATAATGTGCCTTGCATCAATGGCACATGAATGCAAATATTTTGAGCCGCTACACAACTGTCAAATATGTCTAGTCTAATGTTCACAAAAATATCACAATACAGACCAATTGAAATGCATGTTCTGTGTGATCTGCCTGTCTTTTGGTCTCTGTTTTTAAAAGAATGTGATTACCTGATTCTGCCCTATCTCGAAGTCATATACATGTCATTCATTATATTAGAGAACTCTGAAACTCAGCAAATGTGTCTTTAACTTTCAGATCACGAAGATGATGGAGAAACTGTCAGTGCTGGGTCTCAGGGATAGCACAGCTTTTTTGAGAAATCTTGTAAGTAGTATGTTACATTGATCATACTTATACAACAAGTCTGCGTCTTCAGCTGTATGGCGAGTATTAGTACAAATACATTTTCTCCGTCTGCTTTTCTTCTAATAATGTGCCTTGCATCGGGCACATGAATGCAAATATTTTGAGCCGCTACACAACTGTCAAATATGTCTAGTCTAATGTTCACAAAAATATCACAATACAGACCAATTGAAATGCATGTTCTGTGTGATCTGCCTGTCTTTTGGTCTCTGTTTTTAAAAGAATGTGATTACCTGATTCTGCCCTATCTCGAAGTCATATACATGTCATTCATTATATTAGAGAACTCTGAAACTCAGCAAATGTGTCTTTAACTTTCAGATCACGAAGATGATGGAGAAACTGTCAGTGCTGGGTCTCAGGGATAGCACAGCTTTTTTGAGAAATCTTGTAAGTAGTATGTTACATTGATCATACTTATACAACAAGTCTGCGTCTTCAGCTGTATGGCGAGTATTAGTACAAAATTAGTCAAATTTAAATGTAAATACATTTGAATTTTCCTACTAAAATTAAAATGAATAGATACTAACATAGTCTTCTGTGGTCTGCAACACAAAGACATCTGAGATTTAACTTGCGTTTCATGAGCTTTACACTAAAGAAACAAGTCATTCACATTAAATATGATAGAATCTTACAGTGTAATATTGTCATTACATATGTGTATTTTGCATTTATATGCAGGTGAAGACTGTCTACTGTTGGGGAGGATGCCATTTCATGCCCATGTGAAGACTTTGCAAGACCAAAAGAAGACAACCAGTAAGTCTCTTTTGCTGATGTCTATACAATGGCAGCTAATTGTTAAAGGGATAGTTAATCCCAAAATCAAAATCGTCATCATCACCCTTATTTCATTCCAAACCCCTAAGAATTTCATTCATCTTCAAAACACAAATGAAGATGTTTTAAAGAAACATGAGAGATTTCTGTTCCATTGAGAGTCCACACTACTACTGCTTTGATGCTTCAAAAATTTAGTAAAAAGATTTAAAAACGAATCCATATGAATCAGTGAACAGTGAACCGTTTAGTCCAGATTTTCTGAAGAGACTCGATCATTTTATATGATTAACAGATTGAATTTATGCTTTTATTCACATATAAACATTAATCAGTTCACACATCAGATATGGTAAACAAAATACTTGGAAAAAATGAGGTTCATTTTTGTGTTAAACATTAAGTTTGAGCTTCCACAAGAACCAGTGAAGTTTGTTCTCATGCATCAAGCAAGTATGGTTAAGCGTCTGTTTGTTCAGTGTTTATATGTGAATAAAAGACTTAAGTTCATCATATAAAGCAATTGAGTCTCTTCAGAAAATTTGGACTAAACTGCTCTATTCAAATGGATAAGTTTTACAATCGCTTTATGAATTTTAAAGCATCAAAGTGGCAGTTGTGTGGACTGTCAGTGGAGGGACAGAAATCTGTAAGATTTAATTCAAAAGATCTTTGTGTTTTGATGAGGAACTAAAGTCTTATGGGTTTAGAATGACATGAGGGTGAGTAAACAATGACATTCAATGACATCCATGTGACTTTTTCATCTTATTTTTAGTGAACATCCTACCTTTCACCTTACAGTAGCCCTAGCTCTATATTGCACATTCAAGAGTGCATGAGAGAAGCCTGTTCACCATGGGTATGCTTAAATACTTATGGTCATGTAAAATACTTAAATACTCAAATGTGGGAATTGTTATTTTATACAATGGCAAACAAGAAATACCATTAATTGTAATGAACTCTTCTTTTCTTATCTGCATTTCAGTTATTCCAGGAAATTGGCCCAATGCATGCTGTAACTGAGTTAAGGTGTTTCCAGGATTCCTTAAAGGGTAAGTTCTAGGGCTGTGCGATTTTGGGGAAAATATCAAATTGAGATTTTTTTGACAGATATTGCGATTGCGATTTTAAATTTGCAAAGTCAAGCTTCAGCTCAATATTGTCAATAATGTGCAGCACAGTATGGGTATCATTACCCTGCTGAAAAAAACAATAGAAACCATCACAGAAATTCTTATAGTTTCCATTAAACCATTACAAAATTCCTTTTTGTTTTGGGCATTATTCCAATTGGAATTACTGTTGTTCTATTGGTTCCCATCTGCCACATTACGTCCCACCAATAGAATCCATCAAATAGACACCATTATAGTTTACATTAAAACCAAACAAATTCCCATTATAACCCTGAAATCCATTAAATTTGTTATTGTGTTTTGGGAGGGGTTCTATTGTTTTTTTTTCTTCAGCTGGCAAGATTATAATGGTATAACTACTTTTACAGAATTAACTT